TTTTTTTTTTCTGTGGATCTTGTTGTTTCATGATGATGGAGGAATTGATTGATGAAGAAGGCTAGGTAAGATGAGGATCTGAGAACTGGGAATGGGGAAGAAAGGGGGAGAAGAGTTCAAGCTTTGCAGGAGGTGGGGCCCACTCTTTTTTTTTTTAATTTTGGATCCGAATCATACTGCCATGTCATTTTTTTTACAGGTGTGCATATGAGGTGTCATTCTATTTCGACACATCATCATGCTTCAGTTAATTAACAGAACACGTCATTGGATTTTTAACGGAGGGACCAAATTGCTGTAAAAATGGTAAACAGTAGGGACCAAATCAGAGATTTTTTTAGTTAAGGGACCAAATCGGGGGTCCGTACAATAGTTCAGGGACCAAAAAGGGGTTTTAACCTTGATTTTATTTAGAGAAGTTAATAATAAAATAATTTTTCATAAATTTTTTAATCTCAAAATACTTACAACTTATCGTTAAGACACTTTAACCGCTAAATCCCTTTGTGTATACATATATATGAAAAGACCATAGGTTATCGTGGGACGCAGCATTTGCCATCATTTCTTTCTGGTTAGGAAGAAATAAAACTACTTTTTGATGGCAACTTGAGTTGGATGGGTTTGAATCAAGCTTCACTGGATTTTCATCGCTCTCGCCCTGCCGGTTGAAACATGACAAATGAGTTCTGAAAGCAAGAAAGAAACTTGTTGCATTATTGAATCCTCCTGCTGCAGGTTCTGTTAAGTCAAATGTGGACTGGTGATCAGCAAGGGGGTCCTGGGGGCCCGTCGCCGGCAGACTGTCTATGGAGAGATAAGGATTTAATGACTAATAAATTAATCACTGAATATGGTCTTTTTTTTGTAGTGGTAGGTATGTAACTGGTGCTTAATTTGGCTTTTCTATGCATATCTACACCTTGCCAACCAGTGTGTAGACCCTGCGGCGTAATTTTCTTGATACTCACTGTAGGACTTTTAGCGGTGGATCATCGTTGTCAACTTGTCATATTGTGTGGACTCTTTTTGTTTTTTTTCATATATATATATATATGAATTTTATTTAGCAGAGTCCTGTTGTTCTACCATAAATCCTTAAATTCAAAGCAAAAGTCCCAACAATAATTCCTAAAATTTTAAATAACTAATAAAATTAAACAATGTGAAATTAAATGTACAAAATTGAAAAAATCAAAAGAAGCTATTTACTATAATAAAAATAAGCACCTAGAGATAATAAATAAAAAAATATTATAAAGTTTAGATTATATCAACTATACAACACTAATCAATAAATAAATAAAATTGGGTTTCCAAAATGGTCCTTTCATTATCTAATAGCATTTATTTTACAACCAAAACATAGATGGCCATTTAATTTTACCATTATTGTGCAAATATCATCACCTGCCATGTCACCACTTGCTGATCCGGCAAGGTAACCGAGCTGCCGGGCTGGGACAGGGAAACACCCACCACTACCTTGGGGCACAATCCCGTGGGAAATTTTAGTGAGAGCAAGTTCTTCTCCGTCCTTTTCCAGCAGGGATAAAATTCTCCTCATTCTCGGCCCATTTGGCTTGGATCATGCCTGCGGAGACTGCGGGGAGTTAGGAATTTGGCCTGGGCCATCCCAAACTATTCTTTACGTACTGCATCATACTACCAGTCTATCACTAAAATACAGGCCCAACAACACCAACAGGCCATAAGCACTAAAACACTAAAATACGAGTTTTGATTTCTCAGCAAGCCCATGCTGAGTCTACTTGGTTTTTAAAGCGCAAATTTTATACTTACAAAGTTACAATGCCCTATGCAAATGTTATGCAAATGTAAACTTATAATCATAATATAGTATTAAATAAATATAATATATTATTAAATAAGTTAATATATAATATCATAAGTAAATTTTTAAATAAAAAGAG